ATGGATTTATTTGATGTGGGGAGACCTATATTTTCATGTCAAATGTTTTCAAATTCAATGAAGCATGTGTTTCAATACTTATTTTTTATATTTTAATATTTCTACTCCTCATTAATATTATGGTTACTATTAACAATGCTATGTTTAAGTATTTGAAATAAAAGTTTAAAATTTGGAAATAATGGGTATTGTGATTTATTTTCAAATAATAATATTGAGTCCAACATTTGAAAAATGAAGTTACACCATTTTTCTTCAGGGGAACACAAAATAAATTTGTTGATCTGTAGAGTAAAGGACAATAGAATTGTGATAATGAGTATCATTTATCTTAATGCTGAATGAGACAATTTGGTCCTGGATACTTGAGGTGAATAGTTAGCCTTTGAAAATTGTAGGATTTGCAAATCAGTGGGTTTTAACTCCTTTCAGAATCTGATAAAAATATCGATCTGTTCCCTAGCAAATTCACATATTTATAAACTCAACATTTTGGTCGGAGAGGATGACTTGTCCAGGGCTATGCAGACATTGGCAGAACTGAGCTGAAACCCAGGTTCTTTCGTCCAGTGCTTTTCCTAGTGATAATAATAATAACAACAACAGTGGCTACCACTTAGCAAACAGTGTGGCAAGCACTCTGCATATGGAGTTCTCACTGAATCCTTTTGGAGTTGGTACTACTCTTCTCTCCATGTTACACTCAAGGTCATGGGAGCTTATTTCAGATAGAAAATGGCCAAGTCACCTCTACACAATTTCCCCTCTGCTTATGTCCTCCTCCCCTTAGCACTGCTCAGTCATCTCTCTGTCATCTACAGGAGACATCCTAGTTCCCTTCTACTCAGAACTGAGAGTCAGCCGGGCTGCCTCTGTAACCATACAGCTTTAAAACACCAAAGTATGCTTGTATTTGTTGGTAAATAGCTTGTGCTCCAAGGCCCCCACTACCCTTCCCTATTCCAGCAGCTCTGCCTCATCCTCCAGAAACCCACAATCCAGCAAGTGGCAGGTTAACTCCCAGCACAGCAGGAGCCTTATGGTTCCAGCACTAGGCTAGCATCTTCTTTGATTTACTTTACTTTTTTACTAGTATTTCCTTGCCTTGTTTCATTTCCCCCCAACTTTTTTTGTGGTATAATGGGCAAACAAAATTATAGACATATTTAAAGGTGCAACATGATGAGTTGATATACATATGCATTGTAAAATACCACAATCAAGTTAATTAATGCATCCAATACCTCACATACTTATTGTGTGTGTGTGTGTGTGTGTGTGTGTGTGTGTGTGTGTGTGTGTATGGTGAGAACACTTAAGATCTGTCTTAACAAACTTCAAGTGTATAATATCAGTAACTATAATCACCACCTTGTACACTAGTTCCTCAGAACTAAAACTCATAACTGAAAGTTGGTACTCTTTGGCCAATTATTTGAATATTACCTTTGAATTTAAAAATGAAGTATCTTATCTGGCCAGTGTGGTTCAGTGATTGAATGTCAACCCATGAACCAGGAAGTCATGGTTCAATTCCTGATTTGGGCACATGCCTCGGGTTGCAGGCTCGAACCCCAGTAGGTGGCATGCAGGAGGCAGCTGATCAATGATTCTCTCTCATCATGGATGTTTCTATCTCTCCCACCCTTCCTCTTTGAAATAAATTAAAAATAATGAAGTATTTCCTTACCCTTGAAGACCCAGCTATAGTCTATATTGTTCCTGGTACTTTTTCGAACTACTGCAGCCTATATTTTAAACAAATATTTATAGAATGCCTTCTATGAGCAGGCAATGGGTGCTTGGCACTGGAGCTACAGTAACACAGATGGTTATGGCTCACAAAGACTTTGGGGGAGGTGACATCACCAGCAATAAACCTAATAAATGCACGACTACACACTCTAGCTGGCTTCATGAAGGAAAAGTGCCAGGTGCAATAAAAATACAATATACCACAATGGGGTTTAATCTGGGGAACCAAATAAACCGCCTAGGAAGGAGGAACCTTTAGGAGGAGACTGGTAGAATGAGTGGATGGAGACAGGTGAGAGGTGATGGACTGGAGAACACTTAGACTGTGAGCAGATGCTGAGGCAGGATGTTTTGGAACAAAAGGAAGGGCCTTCCTGTAGGAGCTGACCGAGCGAAGGTGAAGGAGGGGCTAGTGCGTGTGGAGAATCAGGCAGAGGCCTCATTGCACAGGAACAGGTTGATTGGGTCATGACTTTATTTTATTTTTGTTTTAAAGCAACAACAGATTGTTTTTTTAAAAAAGGCTTTTAAAAATTGATTTTTAGAGAGGAAGGGAGAGGAACAGAGAGAGAAACATCGATTGGCTGCCTCCTGCATTTCCCCCTCCCCCCTCTCCC